CCTGAGGGGTTTATCTATCCTGGATTCCCTGTGTTGTGGGCTGTTATCTGTAGCAGTGTGCATGTTCTGGTCTAATCCAATTTGTAAGGTAGAATTGAGGTCATGATAGTGGGGGGAAGGATGCACCAAAGAACCAGAGGAAAGTTGCGTTTCATTGGTGCTATACTGCACCCTGGCTGGCTCATCTCTTCTTTGTGATCCTTCTTTGAAAGGCTGTCCAATTGTCTACAGATGGGCTTTGGGTCTCTACTCCACATCACCAACCTCCATTCACATTGGGTATAATTTTATTCTGGGTCTTAGATGCCTGCCTGATACCTGATCCCATGGACACTTCATGATCACACAGGCTGGTGTGCTTCTTCCACATGGGCTTTGTTGCTTCTCAGCTAGATGGCTGCTTGTTTATCTTCAAGCCTTTAGGACCCCAGATGTTATCTCTTTTGATAGCTGGGCACCATCAGCTTTCTTCACCACATTTTCTCTTGCACCCATTTTGTCTTCAGCGATGGTGTTGGGAAGGTGAGCATCATAGAATGCGGGATTATTAGAAAAAAGTGTTCTTGTGTTGAGAGAGCACTTGAGTGGAAGCCCAATGTCCATCTGCAACCTTGATTCTTAACATATAGCTATAAGTACATAGATCTATTTGCCTCTCATTGTATATAAATATATTTACATGTGTACATGCCTGTATTTAGATTTATATACATGTCCTTTGCCTCCTGGTTCTTTCCTCTCTTTTCTTTAACTTTCCTCTTGTCCCACCATCATGTTCAGTCTTCATTCAGGTTTAGTAATTCCTCACTGCTACATTGCCCTTATTTAAGCCCCATTAGGGCATCCTACGCCCTTCTCTCCATTGACTTTAGTTCACTTGTTGTCCCCTTGCCCTTCAGTTGGTTCCCTTCCCCGCTTCCTTTCTCCCATCTCTCCTTCTCCCATATCCCTCGTAACCATTGGTCCCATTCTTATCATCTCAGACTTGTTTATCTACCTATCTTATCTAGATAGACATGCAGAGACATTAATAAGCACAAAAACCAGGCAAAGCCAAACAAAACTAAAGGATGTCAAAACCAACAAAACAATAACAACAACAACAAAACAAAAACAAAATAACAACGACAAAAAGAAAGCCACTGAAAACATGGAGAAGCCTATAAGTAGTTCAAGGTCTGTTTGTTGGCCTTTATGGGTGTTTTCCAGTTGAGTCTGATGGGTTGTCACGCTCTGTCTCCAAAGTCCATTTTTGGTATTCCCCGGGGATTTCATGATTTTCTTCCCTTGCTGCTCTGTTGCATGCCCTTAGTGTTTCACTCCAGTGTGATGGGGTCAGATTGTGCACAATTCCTGCACTGTGTCTGCAGTGCTGTCCCCTGTAACCCTATGGTTCAGTGAGGGATGTTGTGTCTTGTGGTGGGGCTGGCCCTATGGTCCTCTCTGTGCATTGTCTGCTCTGAAAAACTGAAAATCTTTATGGGAGCAGACAACCTTATTCCCCCACCCCCCACATTGGAGTGACTGGTAGGTCTGAACCACTGACTTTGTGGTTAGCAGTCCAACACTTAACCCACTGTACTACCAGGGCTCTTTGGGCAGATGAGATAGGGGCTGAATTATACGTGCTAGAATTTGGAGCATCAAGTGTTGGTATTTGGAACTTCATTTCTAAATGTTATAACTCTAGGAAGTGTGTGTGTATGTGTGTAAGAGAGCACTGTTCTAAAGACACAAGGTTTAGGCTATGGTAAGTTTGGATTAAGTGAGTCATTTCCTGTGGGACATATTCAATGGCAACTAGGTCTTCCAGTTTTCCTCCTCCTTACTCAAAACATCAACATGTTTTTATGGATCAGAAATGTTATGTCTTTTCTCCTTCTTTCTGCTTTACGCAGGGTGACCGAGGCCTTTGGGGTATTCATCACACACCTCTATTCCTCTGCAGCAACTGCTGGGCCCACGTGCTCTGTCCACACATAACCAGTGAGCCAATTGTCATCATGTGGGTTCTTTGCTCATTGGGGTTTTCTTTTCTTTGAACAGTTATTGTTCTTTAGTTAAAACTATATAGCAAATCATATTTAAAAACTTTTTATTATGAATTAGATGAAGATCATCAGAGCAGAGCATCAATCTTACCTTCAACAATTCATACACATTCTGATTCAACTCAGCCATTGGAATCCCCTCCAAGTAGCAATGTTTATCCACTTCCTCCCTGTGTTTCCTGTTTCCATGGCTTCTTTTTCCCTAATGCTCTGAACTTTGTCCTTGGGTGAATGCTGCCCTTTTGATCATAAGTGGCTGATTACTCTAACGTGGAGGTGAGTATAGTTCTAGACTTGAAGGATAAGGGCCAAAGTCTTGGGGGTCCCACCAGTCTCTTTTTATGATTTTGCACTCTGTTCCACATTTTCCTCCCACTCTATCCAGGACCGTCTAATGTGATCCTTTTGAGAGCAGCTGGTAGTAGTAGCCGGCACCATCTAGTTCTCCTGGTTTCAGGGGTATGGAGCCTGATGTTTGTGTGGTTCATTAGTGCATGGGACTAATAGTGGCGAGTTAGATGGCTTGCTTGCAAACTTTCTAAACAAGACCTTCTATTGTCCTGGTTGGTGTGGTTGGTACTGGCAGCACCTTCATTTGCCAGTGCTCCAAGTGGGAAGAGACCAAAAAATGGCTTCTTAGATGGCTGTTCACCAGCTTTTAAGACCCCCAGACACCACATCAGACTAGGATGTAGATCATTGTCTTTATGGACTGTTTGTGCCCATTGAGATATCCCCTTAGAATTCCATAGTTGTTTTCAAGATCTGATTTTTTGGGGGGAAATAGATAGCCAGGCCTTTCTTCCAAGATGCCTCTGGGTGGACTTGAACTTCCAACCTTTCAGTTAGCAGATGATCACATGAACTATCTGTGCCACCCAGGAGCATCTTTCTACCCACATCAGGTACAAATCACAGAGCAGCTTTGTGGATCTTTGGTAAATCTGTCCTTTTGCTGAAATACCTTCAACTAGGGAGCCAGCATGGGGCGTGGGGCACTGCTACCACCTCTCTATAGTAAGTCCCTACACTCCATGGCTCTCTCTCTCTACACTGGTTTGGATTGTTTTCTCGTTCATACTCACAAATGGTGTGAAAACCTACCCACTCTTCCCATGTGCCTTCTGGGTGTTTCTTCATGATGGGCTCAAGGCGTTTCAGAAGGATCTGACAAGCATTCTTGAAAGAGTAAAGAAAATAATACACGTTAGAGAAGAGCCTGGTGGGTAGGATTTGTGTGAAAGAATATTCACTGATAACTGATTTGGTCAGCAAATGGTTATGGAGGGTCAGGTTACTAATACCTTGGGGACAGATAGTCACAGAATAGTCCCTGCCCTTGAGAACAGTATTGTGGATGGACAGGTTTTTTTCCTTCCTGGTTCAGTTCCTGTGAAAATATGAGCTCAAGTGAACCTCAGCTCTCAGATTTTCCTTCTTGGGATTTTTGTGCTCTATTTTCCTTCTTTCTACATCTGTAATCCAGACCTTTTGGTTTTCCCAGCTGTTAGCATACGTGGAACAAAACAACGCCATTCAAATCTGTGCTTTCTAACATCTGCAGCACTGGCCTGCAGTCTCTCTCTGGTTTGGGAACACTGCTCAGTTCTGTCCACCCCTCTCTTTATTGTTCATTCAACGCAGTGCAATGCAGATATTGGCTCTGGGTGTGAAGTAGAAAACGTAGCCTTTCTTTCTAATAACCCGGATGTACAAAGTTTCTGATCCTTGAAACATAAACTTCAAACTCGATGCCCAAGAAGGATTAACCCCTGCTTTTGGTTGACCACTGGTACTCACCTGGAGCTGTTTATCTCCCATGGACGTTTTCCTTGTTTGTTTATTGTGTTTTGTTTTGGAGACAATACGCAGCAAAGCAGGCGCCAATTCCACAGTTTCTGCAGGTACACGTTGCTGACGTTCTCCCCCATCAGATAAACTCATTGTCCCCTGAGGTTTCTATCGAATTCTTCAGCCCCTTGATCTGATAATAGGTAGTTCTTTAAAGGGCACAATACTCCAGCCAGACACTTTAAACTACTGTTTGGTTTTAAGGAGACTTCAGGTTCCCATACTTTTGTTTTGAACAAAGAGAGTCTGTTATCTAACCTCTAAGAATGCTTTGAAATCGGTTCCTGACTGCAAGGGAGGCTGGACAATAAGGAGTTCTGGTTGGAAGCCTAAGTGCTGTAGGATGGGATCCACTGCAATGGAAGGGGATGGGGCTTCGCTAGAAACCGTCTTACAAGTAGACCTCATTTCCCCAAATACGTGAAACCAGATGTTGAATGAAGGACTACAAAGGCATGACTGATGAGAGAGTGAAAAAGCGGCCCAAACAAGACAGCTGGAACATGAGGGCAAAGGGCACTAGAGGAAGTTCGTGGCTGCTCTTCTGCCTGCCCTCCTGCCTCAGGCCCTCCGTGTCTGCCCCTGGGAAGCTTGCACAGCTCCGGTTTGCATTCAGCACCTGGAATTCTTCTTTTGGTGCCTGCTGTCTGTTCATCCAAATCTCTCTTTTCAGTAGTCGCTGGGCTTGTGACTACCTCCTACTTCATATTTTCTAACCTCTGCGGAAGCTGGGCGTGTCCTGAGACAGGTTCTGCTGGCGGACTAAGAGGAGTGACTTGCATCACTTCCCAGTCTGGCCCAGCGTCCTCCACATGTGCCCCAGAAGGCCCTTTCCTTTCGCTGGTGAACTCCAGTGATGCCGCTCTGGCAATCGGAACGCCGCGTGGCAGAACCGCCATTGGTCTGAGTTTTCAAGTGCCTGAACGGCCCCCCCAGGCTGTCAGGTGCTTCAGAAAGAGCTTTCTTTCCAGGTATATTTACCACGTTAATTTAGCCATCTGCAATGGCTCTCACACCAACTGCTCGGAGTTAGGCCAAACTTCACAGGTTAAAGGCACAGCCTTCTACAAGAATGTCCTCATTCAGACTCCAGCTGCAGGTCCCGGGACCCCCTAGGCCACTGTCGCTTCTGCTCAGCTGACGACAATTTCAAGGGCTTCCACTACTCCTACAGGTTTGATAATTTATTAGAAGGAAGCATTATATTTATGATTACAGTTGTATTATAGCAAAAGGAAACATATCTGAACCAGACAACAGAGAGATGCATAGGGCATGGTTTGGGAGGGTCCCATGGGTGAAACTTCATGTCCTCAGGATTTGCTACCTTCCTGGCACAGCGATGTATGACGATATGTAGAATGTGGCAAACCACCGTTTTTACTGAGGTTTCCTGAAGTAGGCGTGGTTGAGAGGATCACTGATCCCATGATTGGGCTCAGGCTCCAGCCTGTCTCTTTTGCCTGGCGGCCAGGCTGATATGTGGCTCAAAGCTCCAACACTCTAATCACATGGGTGGACTCTATGGTGCAGGAAGCCCCCATCCTGAGTAATCTCATTCACATAACCTCTGACTGACCTCATTAGCACACTCCTTCAGGTACAGAACAACACAGCTAAATAACGAAGGGTATTTCAATAACCTGGACATTCCAAGGGGTTCTAGGTTACTTCCCAGTAAAGACCACCTTTTTGATTACATCCCTCATTTAACTAAAAGGCTCCCCAGGCGGTTTGGTTATCCCATCCATAGGGGGTTTCCATGAGTGGGATCAACTCTGTGGTGACAACAACAACAACAACAACAACAACAAAACAACAACAACAACAAAACAACAACAACAACATGTGCAATGACATGGAAGACTGCACTGAAGTCAAGCACCCTGCCTGATTCCAACTAAGAAAAGCCAGCGCTGTGGCAAGCGTGCAGAGGGAAAGGCAGTCCGGAGGAATCACCTGCACGGCTTTGCCGTTGACGTCGGAGCCGACGGAGGCTGCGGTCGCGATGGTGTTCGGCACGGTGGCTGTACTCGTTTCACACACATGCATGGACGACATGGGTATTTTTAGTTCACGACTGGCCACCTATGAGAAAAGTCAATATTTTCAAGTCTAGCGAGGACTGTTGGGAGGAACTGACTCAGTATTTTTCTTAATAATGAAAAGAAAAAAAAAGAAGAAGAACTTCTCTATGACATCCAGGTTCTCCTCTAACATCCAAACCCACATATTTTATAAATATGTAAGCGCTTTTTTAGCAGGGCCTCAGGCTGATTATTTTCATGTTTTCATGGTCAGACTTGCATTCTGTACTGGTTCTTCCCTTCACATTCAAGTAGCGTATTTGAGATGTCAAGGATATTCTATGTCTGAAGTTTTATAATTGTGGAGACATAGGCTAAGGTCAGACTTTTAGTGGTAGGGGCGAAAGAGAGAGAGAGAGAGAGAGAGAGAGGGAGGGAGAGAGAGAGAGAGAGAGAGAGAAAGAGAGAGAGAAGGTATCAGATGGACTGCCTCAG